TATCACGAAGTGCACGTCAGCGCGATGTAATCTGAGCGACGTAGAATGTCCGTGTCGATACCGTATATTAACGTGCGAAATGAGCATTTTGGCAACTGTATCGGTCGATGGCGAGCATACAATGTTAGATACAACTGCACTATCTCCTACAACAACACTGCCAGTGTTGACGACTAGCATGAAGACGTGCATTGACGAGCGGCTCGCCGAAGACGCATCGATCAACCCTGTGGCTCTGTTTGGCATTATTTGCAAGAAAATATCCCGCCTCACGCTCGATGGTCCTCCGCCGCTCGTTAGTCAAGTACAGAGCCACACCAAAAAATGGCGTAAGGCTCACAAAAGAGATGCAGTTCAGCCAGTGATTGACCTTTGTAGCCAGTATATGCTTGACAACTTGGAAAATATACCTGACGATCCCAAGAGAATGATAATACTTTGTGACTCCCAGCACGACGACAACATTTTGGTTCCTACCGTGGGGGATGGGTCTGCTGCACTCCCATTTCGTATTGGAGTCACTTGCTATTCATTACGAGAAATGTATGTTGAAGTGCAAAGCGATCCACGCTGTACGACAATAATCCATATCGACAGCACACATAGTATAGTCAAGCAAAAATTCCCTGTATTCGTATTTGGATTTTCAGATTGTCGGGGCAAGTTCTTTCCTATAATTTTCTTCTGTGCGTCGCAACGGAAAGGAAAAGATATCAAATGCATTGCGTTTACAAAGCGCATTATTCGAGAGGTGTTTTTGGTTACCTTTTCGCCGGATTTCGTGATGTCTGACGCGGATAACGCACAATTCAACGCGTGTAAAGTCGCATTACCACGCTCCACGTTCTTGATGTGTTGGTTCCACGTGTGTCAAAATGTGAAAGATCGATCAAAAGGGAAGTTGGAGCGCGTGACTATAGACATGATATTTCGCGACCTGAACAACCTGCACTATGCGCGAAATGAGGATGAATACTTGAGAAGAAGGTCATAAATTCTAGCTTCGTGGCGCTCAGCATCAGCTTTTTGTGATCCTTTCCGTAAAATAGCAGATCATATTATATCTCAGTGGATATTACACCCTCGGTTTAGCATGTAGCAAGCTTTCCACACACCTTCGGGATACGCCGCAACAAATAACCCATTAGAGCAGTATCATAAAACACTCAAGTTAGTGAACAAGTCTAAGCGAGCTGTACCCATCGAAATGCTCGAGAAATTAGATCAGTCGCGCCTCGTTTTCGCTAACTCGAAGACTACTTTCAAGAGCACCCCACATGTTTCGCAGCGATTAAAAGCCCTGTACTCTTTGACATTACGGAAGCGAGAACGTTCTGCGACATTGCTTGCAGCTTCTGATGGCATCCCAGCCCAACTAGTCCAAATACAACATATTCCAAGAAGGAGGTATGGTGATATAGAGAGCAGCTCGTCCGATGACTTTTTTGTGGAGCCAATAAGCCAAAATCTACCGTATAAGTCAATTCATATATTGCGTATACAGTGGCAAAGTATGCCGGAAAATGGATGGCTCGTTAACGCCGTTTCGCGTACATGTGACTGTCGTTTTTGTGGAAAGTTTGGTGTGTGTGTTCATATAATCCACGCCACACAGGAATTCGTCTACTTGGTAATACAAAGAGCGTATCTTCTGAATATTTAATGAATGCGTGTGCTTGATAGACGTATTCTAAAACAAATTAAAGCAGGAGCTCCGTTAGCTACTGTCCTGCGTTTGCAGGTTCGAAGCAACTCGAACTCATTTTTCGTGCTAACCAGCGTTTGCTAACTAGCCGTACTATTGCATCAACTTTTGCAACGTATTAATTGCACTGCATGTACAAGTAAACAACATTGGTCAACTACTACACATGCATATACGTTTTGTTGCAGCAACTCTTGCAATACCCAAACTTTGGTTAACACCCGTCAGCAAGACACTGTATAGTATTAACGCATCTCAACCAGTGGGAAGATTTAAACATCTATGGTGTTTTCCAAACAAGTTGCAATAGTCCGATTTTTGGTTTCCACCGATGAAAATAAAGCAACAAATTTTATTAAAATGGCGATTTCGACAAGAAAGATAACTTGGCAAATCGAATCGCCCAGCGCGGGAAAAAGTTCACCCATCCTCAGACATAGAGTATGATCGACAAACGAGTTTTCTCTTCGTTTTTTCAACCATTTGAGATGTTGCTTTGTTAGTCTGTTGCAAAGTTCATTCAAGTGCGGATGCTGCATTGGGGCGCGATTTAGCGCAGCTCAATGTATAGAAGAAGGTGCACGGGTGAGGAGATGACTGACATGTGCACGACGAAGAGGCCGGCGTCAACTTCGCATAATGAAAAATAAAGCTAAACCAAGAAAAAATGAAACATACAGCACGTAGCCAGTTTCGTTGGTCCTTCCTGTTAATTTGGATGTGTCTGTCATGCTTCACATATACATGTACTACTATACAGACTCGAATCGAGAAATCTGGTTTTGTCAAAGCAAAATAGTTTTTCTTAGAAACCATCACCAGACATAACTCTCTTGTTGTAGAAGCTTAAATAAACTAATGTTTTGTTCCGGAAAACTACTGCTTCACGATTGCATCAGATTTACAGAAATCTATTGTTAAGTGTGTAGCCTTTGTTGTAAAACCAAGGACCAGTAAGCCGAACGGGAAGGCGAAGTAGAGGTGGCACCACAGCGCCTGCATAATTTGCTCTATATTACTTTTTTTTACAGCTGCACACTATTAATGCTTTTAAACAAATTCTTAATTTCAGAGCTTACTCGGGCTGAAGGCACGACTTTGTTTTTTTTTAAGACGTATTTGCCTTGCGATTCAAAAGGATGCCTTAATGAAATAGATTACAAGAAGTCAGATATATATGTGAAGTTCTAAATAAGCCATTTAATCAGTTTCAAACCAGTATCAGCCGATTACGTCACATAATATGTGTTTTTTTTTCTGCTAGAATCTTGTAAGTCATTTTGATTTTTTT